GGGCACCCAGGGCCTCCCCACCAGCCATTTTCCAGGCCTGGCTGCACCAGCTCTTTCTCTGGGCCAGGAGCTGCAGGGCCTACCTGGGAGCCTGCTGTGCTCAGCAGAGGTGCCCCTGAGCACAGCTACCTGGGAAAAGGCACTCAATGTGGGAGACATTTGGGGACATAGCTTGCTGTCAGCTGCTTTGACAAGGATAAGGCAAACTCAGCACCTCACTGCAGGACTGAGTGTTGCATCTATCTGATGGATAGAAAAAGAGAAAACTAAAATTGAGACTCCTTGCCCCCAGGTTCTTGGTGAGGTCAGGGGCTGACAGGGGCCAAATACATTGGGTCAGCACAGCATCCATCAGAGGACTTGAGGACCACGGGGCAAAGGTTCTGAGAATCACCAGATCACGTGACTGCAGAGACCAGCACTGAATAGAACCAGACCTCCAGGATCTCCGGATGAGAACTGTTGGCATCATGATGCAGCTGGGGAGACTTCTGCCTCCATCTCCTGCTATGGACCTCTCCAAATCCCAGCCAGTGCCCTCTGAAGCTGGGAAGGCAATGGCCCCTGGCCGGCCTACACCCACAGTGACCTTCTACTCAGCTGCTGAAACTCCCCCTTTCTCAGAAGCCAAGCAGGCTTTTTTGGCAAGAGGACACCATCCACAACCTCTGTGCTCCTGACTGCTACAGTCCTTTTCCTTGCCAATCTCGGCTTCCCTGAGGGGCCATGTGGTTACTGATAAGAACAACATTTTGGATATGCAGCCCTGATACATGTCTATTGTTTGTATGTAAAAGGTGTTCACATCAGTCCAAGATGGCAGTGATAGGTCTTCCCATAGCAGTGCAGGGCTCCCGGAGAGAGTGCCAAGAAGGAGGCGTGGGGACCACCAGCCTCCCAAGGCCTGGCCCAGACAGGCCACATGCCCTCTGCTGCATTCCCCTGGCCAGAGTATTCAGAGAGTCCACAGGATTCAGGGGAAGGGGATGCAGATCTCCATGGAAGGAACCATCAAGAACACCTGGCCTTTGTTAATTCACCATAGCATTCTTATACTTCCTGGAAGGGGACTTGACCTTGGACTGAGGCCATGGGCCTGCCCCCTCCCTGCAGCTGGGGACTGAGCACCTCCACCCCTGAAGGTTTCCAAGCAGCACCTCACATGCATCACTGTGTGGCAAAGTCCCATTGTGGACATGGACGGTGTCGGGACCCCTCTGGTCAGTTCTGCTCACTCCAGTGGAGGGGGCCTGCAGAGTGCACTGCAGTCCCCAGACCCAGGAGGCCTGCATCAGCCAGAAAGAGCGTTTGTCAAGCTCCTGCTTCCCAGGAGGTGCTCCAAAGATCAAAGCCATTGTCATTGATCCACAGTGTATGTGTCACATCAGAAAAGGCCAAAGCTCGGGCCTCAGCAGAGAGCCAGAGAATCCCCAGCACAGTCCAATTCTGGCTGTCTACAGCAAACTGCTCGTTTGTCTGTCTTGGCAACCACGCAGCCAGGTTCCTGCTGCTTCTGGTCAAGCCCTGTCACATCCTAGGCTCCACCTCTAGACCCCATAAAGATGGCCACCTCTACCACCCACACACCAGAGGACCCCACCCAAGTCACAACTGCAAGTCCTACTGCCAGCGGCAAAAGAGGAGGTTGTGCCCTCCTGCTTCTATAGTAGGGGACAGGCAGGCACTAGGGACCACCCATTCTGCACTCAATTTGGAAAGGGGATTTACAAGAAAATGAAAAAAGTAGGACCTGTGTCTAGTGCTGGAAACTAACTTGACCTTGAGGACATTCTTTTGGAAGAAACAATTGAATTTCACTGGGAAGAGGAGGGGAAAGGGGTTCTGGACAGGATAGCCCTCATGATATGCTGAGAGCAGTCTCCTGAACAGCCCAAATAAGGGGGCTTGAAGGGGTCTGAAATGGGTCTTTGGCCCCCTGGCCCCCTGCCCCACCCCCGTTCTAGGCTGGAGTAAGCATGAGGAGACATTCCTAGACTGCATCGTGAAGGTCACCAGAATCTACCAAGCAGAGCAGACGTAGTCACTCCTGTGGGGAGAGGGTGGCAATGATAGATGAGTGATTATGTGTTTGTTTGGTTTTTTTTAACAAGGATCCTAGATCTTAGAGTAGGTGACCCAGTGACAAGCTCCCATCTTTGGCCCACAGCAGATCCACAGCTGTCTCCAGGTGGTGCAGAAGAGATGAGGAAATCTACCTGTCTGCATATCTCTGCACGTCTCCCATGGTGGACACTCTGTGGGCCTCTTGCCTGCTGCCTGCAGATGAGAATGGGCTGGTGGGGGTTGAGGGCTGGCCCACTAACCAGCAAGATGCCTCCAGAGCGCATCTGCCCTCCTGATTCCAGGCCGCTGAAGACCTTTCTAGAGAACCAGGCTCTGCTCTGACTTCACAGGGACTAACCCTGTGGCCTGCTTCCTGTCCTCTCAGTGGTGGGGATAGTGACCTCTACTTCCCCCAGTGGAGTCCAGCAAGTGACATCCAGTGCTAGGGATCAAACCCAGTCCAGCAAGTGACATCAGCCCATCCTGTTCTGAGGCCTGTTTCTCAGAGGCTCCCATCACCCCTGGATGCCTGGCTGGCAGAGAACGCAGGTCTTTATTCATGCAGCAGGGAAAGTGTGTTCCAGAACACACCACCACGAAAACCAAGACAAGTGAAGAGAGTGGAACTAAGTGCAGAGTTGAAATCCAGGGGGCACCTGGGTCCGGAAGCAGCTGGTGTTTTTACTACTCAGGTTGAGTTCCCACACCTCCATGGGTTCTCTTCAGCCTGAGAAACTGGGTGTCCTGGGGACAGTGTGTGTGCTGTGTGCATAGGTTTTCTCTTTCATGTGTACCCTGGAGACAAGTCAGGGCATCTCTGAGGGTCCCTTGAGCATCTAATGAGGGAAACTTACATTAGGGCTCTCCATATGTCACCTGCTTTCCTCTCCCTGGCTGCTGAGTTTGATCCCTGTTTTATTTTATTTTAATTATATGTGTAGGGGGGACGTGCTAGGGATTAAACTCAGGGCCCCTCACATGCTAGGCAAGTGTGCTACCACTAATCTGTACCCTGGCCCATCCCCATTTTACAGACATTTTAAATGACTTCCCAAGCTCACACAGGAATAACTTTATTGCTATGATGTCCACTCCTCTGCATGGCCCTAGGTCCATGCCCTGCCTCCACATGGACCAGAGTCTGAGTCCCATAGCCTGGCCAGGGCAGAGCCCTCAGGGGTTAGCTATTGGCTCCAGCTTGCAGGGCTAGGGGGAGCCAGGGTGACAGTCACTCCCCTTTTCCTCCCCTCCAGGAAGGCTGAGTGGCCAAGTGCAGTTTCTCTGAACCAGCTGGAGTTGGAATCTGCATTTATACTGTTGCCTCCTCCTACTCAGGTGAGAACCCTCAATCTGACAGGCTGATAAAGGGGGTACACTGACTCTAGAGCTTCTTGCCCAGGAGAAAGAGCTACCTTTGGAATTTCATGGATTACCATCATGGCGTCCCCATCTCCAAATCCATAGTCTGTGAGATTCAGCACCAGAACTGGGTGGAGAGTCTGGTATCATGGCCCAGTTTTTAACTTTATTGGTGAATACTGCAGCCTAACAGGGCATGGTGTGCAGAAGGACACCCAAAAATGCCCATTCCTAACTCTGGAACTGAGGAATATTGTAGGTTAATAGCTATTATGGTTTGATATGAGATGTCCCCTGAAAAGCTCACGTGTTAGTACAGGAACGCTCAGAGGTGAAATGATTGGATTATGAGAGCTGTGACCTAATCAGAGGATTAATCCATTTGTTGGATTAATAATTGAATGGACTAACTGGGTGGGAACTGTGGGCAGACAGGGTGTGACTAGAGAAAGTAGGTCACGAGGGTGTGCCCTTGGGATTATATCTTGTCCCAGGGCTCTTCCCTCATTGTATCCTCTTCCCTCCGGCCATTAGCCACCACACCCTTCTGCCAGGATGCTTCCCCTCAGAGCAATGGACTCAGCCAACCATGGACTGAAACCTCTGAAACCAGGAGCCAAAATAAGCTTCTCCTCCTCTAAGTTGTTTTTGTCAGGTATTAAGGTCACAACAACCAAAACTTGACTAGCATAGTAGCGAAGGGACATCAAAATCACAGATGATATTGAAGTTGCTAATTGGTTGACTTTATTTTTTTTTTTTATTCCTAAAAAATGTTTATTGTGACATTGGAAAATAAGGCCTATGTTTTTTTTAATGGTCTATATTCTTTTTTTTTTTTTAATTTTTTATTGTTGGCTGTTCAAAACATTACATAGTTCTTGATATATCATATTTCACAATTTGATTCAAGTGGGTTATGCGCTCCCATTTTTACCCCATATACAGATTGCAGAATCACATCAGTTACACATCCATTGATTTACATATTGCCATACTAGTGTCTGTTGTATTCTGCTGCCTTTCCTATCCTCTACTATCCCCCCTCCCCTCTCCTCCCCTCCCCTCCCCTCCCCTCCCCTCTTCTCTCTCTGCTCTCTCTACTGAGATTCGTTTGTCCCCCTTATATTATTTTTCCCCTTCCCCTCACTTCCTCTTGTATGTACTTTTGTATTAATTGGTTGACTTTAAAGTGGGGAGCTCTACGGGGTTATCCAGGTGGGTTCCGTGTGATCATAAGGGCACTTCACCATGGAAGAGGAAGGCGCAAGCATTACGTCAGATACAGTGTGAGAGCAACTCTGGCTTTGAAGATGGAGGAAGGGGCTGGGGCCAAGGAATGCCAGTAGGTCTCCCCGAGAACCTCCAGATGGAAGGTAGTGCTGCCAACACCATGATTGTGGGACCGTGGCAGACTTCCAGCCTCCAAAATTGTAAGATATTAAGTCTATGTTGTGTTAAGCCAATAAATTTGAGATAATTTGTTACAACAGCAACAAGAAACTAATACAACTATGTATGTTCCTGTTTTTCAGTGTTCTTAAAGTAGCAAGAAACAGACATCAATCCTCACTATCTTTAGTGAAAAAAAAATTTTTTTAAATGCATGGAAAGATTCTGATCCAACTCACAGAATCAAAGTGCTGAGCAACCACACTCAGAGAGCAGAAGGCACAGAGGCTCTGTGTTCACCCGAGGAACAAGAGGTTCCAGACGTTCTCTCAGGGCAGTGCCTTGCTGAGGTCCCATGCACCAGTCCTAGGCTCCATGAACCTGGATGCAAACTTCACCTGAAGAGGAAATCCAGACATGGTGCCTCCACCTGTAATGGCCAGGAGACTAATCACTGGGAGCTGGGAAGCTGCCCGGTCAGTACCTGCCAGACAGAATGCTAACAGAAGGGTGCTGGACTGGAACTGAAACCCACGACCCCAAGGCCATGCACTTGCTCCATGCCTAGGCACCTCCACAGAGCCCGTCCACCCATCCCATTTCACCTAGTTCTGTCTCCTGCCCAAGCCAATAGACACCAGATGCCCAACTCTCAGTGACCACCGAGACCTTGAAGGGAGTGTCGGGAGCCAGGAAAATGACTCAGACAGAACGTCCATCACCCAGAATGTGTATGTCCATCGCTAATGAAGTCCATGGACAAGCATGTGCCCATCTGTTGGGATACAGTTCCTAGAGTTGTCACTGTCATCAAGCCAAACCTCCAGTAAGGCCACCCCCTAACAGGCAACCAGGACTCCAGGCAAGTTCAAGTCCTGCATTGCCAAGAAGCTATATGGACCTTGGAAAAGTCAGGTCTCCCCTCGGGGCTTTGGCTTCCTCAGCTATTTAATAAGCTGGGGTGGGTTTTCTGCTGGGTCAGTAGCATCTAGGTTTTAAGATCTCAACCCAGTGCTGATCCGTTAAACAAATGAACAAAGCAAGCCCTTGTCTAAAGGCAAAATTCTCTGCATAAATAATATTATACAGAAATCAGCCAGGATAGTGCAGAAATCCTGTTTTTAGGGCAAATTTGCTTTGGGTTGTAAATACGCAGTCCTTGGTGGGAGGGAGCCAGTCCCCACGCTGGACCTAGGAGACCTCTGCTGCTTTGCCCTCACACAGCCACCCCTACTTTTGGCAGTGAAGGATGTGATGTGCCTGAGGGAGCAACACTCCTGTTGACAGCCGTTGCCAAGGTAACATCAGGCCGGCTGCAGACAGGTAAAAACAGCTGGCTCTTCTTACTCACCTTGGAAGTCACCAGGAAGCTGATTAAATGTTCTTGGAATACAAGTGGGACCTGAGGAGCCTTAATCTTCTCCTTCCTGACTGACAGCTCAAAGCAGTAGGCATAGAAAGCCGGGCTCTCCTGGCTGTACTGCCATTATTTTGCTGTCCTCCTCAGGAGGTCACTTTGTCCCTGTTTCCACAGCCCCAACAGGAGGGGTTAGGCCAGACCCATGGAAAAACCCCCAGGGTTTCGCGCACCCTTCAGGAGTCCTCATGGACTCAGCCAACTTTGATCCATTTTTTTCCCAAGGGAAAGTTTTTATTTTGATTGCCTAAAATTCAGACACATTTAAGCAGCCAAGAATATCCTAGGCAGAATGACGAAGATTAAAAAGAAATTAGAAACAAGAAAAGAATAAGGGTAACACTGAACTCCTCTGCATTAATCTATGAATTTTCTACTGAGCTAATAAAATTTATAGGTTTGGTTGAGGGTGATAGTTTGGATTTGGGGGGGGGTGGTGTTTCTAGGTGAACATTCATGTTTTCTGTCATTCTTATAACAGCACGTGGAAGTGACCGTCTCCTTCCTTCACCTTTTCTACAGTTTGGTGGCGTGTCATTTGCTGGGTTCCGAGCTGCGCTGAGGTGTCCCAGCCTCCCTTTAGGCTGTGGCTCCGGACAGGCTGCCCGCTTGGCCCTGAGGCTTTCCTTCTGAACTTGGGCGCCTGGTCCATTTCATTTTCTTTGTCTAACTTTTCTTCTCTTTCTCCTTCAACGTTCCTAAGAAGCATTAGAGTCAAGAGTATGGAGCCAGCCGGGCGCTGGGGCCACGCCTGTAACCCCAGCTGCTAGGGAGGCCGAAGCAGGAAGATTGCAAAGTCAAGGCCAGCCTTGGCGATTTGGTGGGACCTTAGAACAATAAGAGGGCTGACACAGCTCAGTGGCAGAGTGGCATGTATGAGGACTGGGTTCAGTCCCCAGGACTGAAAAGAGGAACAAATGAAGACGTTCTGATGAGCTTCTTCAAGCCAGTGCACTGACGCGTCTTGGCCTCACTTTCTGATCCCCTCTTTTGGTGGATTCTAAGTTGCCGTTGTCCATCTGTGAGGTATTCTCTCAGGACAGCAGGAAACTCACCTTCAGTCAGAGGCCTCTGGTGATCTCCCCGACCTGTCACCGACAACCTGACCCTGGGCGTGTTGGCGTTGCCGGGTGCTCCTTCTGGCTGCTTGGTTCCCGCACTCCCTCCTTCTCATGGAGGCACAGGGACTCTCCTTGGGGTGACCAGGCTCCTCCATGTCTTGAGGACTACTCTGATGGCCTGGGACTTGCCGTCCACAGGGCAGCCTTCAGAGGTGCCTCTGCAGAGGGCGCTCCAGGGCCCTGGCAGCTCAGCCTGTCTCCTCTCAGTTCTTTGAACATCCCTCTCACCAGGTTCCTCTCTGACAGGTGCAGGCGCAGGTCAGAGCCCCTTGCCATCACCGGGGACCCACAATGAGTGACTACAGCGCCTCTCCCTGGGGCCTGGGGTTCCTAGTGTGCACTTGGGAGCAGGGCCTTGGGGGTGGGGGAACAGAGGGCACGACCAGGCCTGGGGGATAGGACAGGGGGCCACATGCCTGATGGGGAGCCCAAGAGGCCACAGAAGCCGGGACCCAGCTGCAGGGAAGACGGGGCCATGCAGCCCCAGCCCTCCTGCCCCAGAGGAGGACCTGGGAGTCCTCACCAGGACACATCCACCCTCCCCAGGCTGACAACATGGTGACCGGTTTTGCATCGGGATTCTGCTTAAGATTTCGTTTGAACCAATATTTTCTCAGCTACCAAAATCAATCGCCACTAAATGGCACCCTTTGAAGTGGTTAAAGTGGGTAAAGTGGTAGATCCTCAGTACCAAAAAGAAAGGAAGGAAGGAAGGAGGAAAAAAAGAAGGAAAAACTGGCAAATTCTATCCATACATATTTTACCACAATTAAAGAAAAAAAAATCAGTCGGTGGCTGGAGCAGATCATCTCTAAGACCCTTTTCGGATTCTACACCCTAGAATCTGAGCTGTGGCCTCTGTCCCAGAGCCCAGGCTGCCACACTGGGCCTTCTCCTGTGTCACTCACTGGCCCCGTGAGGCCTCCCTGCCCCTCCAGGTTGAGCATTGATGGAGTTCTCCCTAGAGACGTGGGGACCTTCTAAGGAAGTTGGGACCTCTGCTTTGGGGAAGGAGGACCCTGCAGAAGTCACGAATTCCTGACAGCAGGACCTCCAACCTGCAGGGTAGACATGTGTGGGGAAAGAGGGCAGAGGGGGACGTTCTTCCAACAGTGGCCAGAACCCAGAGAACAGCCTTGTCCTATTTGTCGTTGTCATCTCCAAAGAGTCTCCCAAGTAGGACGAGAAGTCAAAAGGATAAATATACAAAGGTTAAACTGGAAACTTACGTAAGGAGGCGAAGGATGTTTTAAAACTCAGCTCGTGGTATCAGAATTCCTCAGGGTGAAGGGGAGTGTCTTTGTTCTAGAAAATTCATTAAGCAGCCCCTGGCATGGGTGACAGGCTCAGGCTCCAAGGCCTCCAGGAAGTGGGGAGTGCTCTGCAGGTGACACAGGGTCACTCAGTACTCGTGATCCTACATGACAGGAAGAGAGGAGCCCCTGAGATGAGAGAAGGGCCGGGTGGAAGGAGGGAGAGAAGGAACCTGGGAAACAGGGAAGGCTGGGCGCGGAGGGAGTCTGTGCGGCCCAGGGCTGCCTTCTCTCCAGGAGAGAAGCACAGGGGTGGGCTGAGTTCCTGTGGGAGCAGGAGCCCAGAGTCTGGGGCTGGGCAGGACTCTGAGCCTCCTCAGGCCGCGGAGCCAGGAGGGCTGAGGACACAACCCAGACTTCCAGGCACTGGGCGGCCCATGTGGTATTTGAGTCACACCTAAAAAAATGGTGGCGGCCCAGCCCTTGGCCTAGGGAGGACAGAACTTCCACAGCCTCACCAGGCCCCAGCTGGACATCTGAACCAGGTTTCCGGACGTGCAGGCCCGTGGGAAGAGTGAGGGCTCCCCACCAGGAGGGGAAGTCCTGCCCCACCTGGGCAGCCCCAGGATGGCTTCCGGGTTTCCAGAGTGGAGAAGAGGGGACCAGCTGCTAATAGGGGCTTTCCCAGGCCCTTCCACCCTGGGAAGCTGCTTCTTCCTCAGCAAGAATCCACCCAACCAGCACAGCTGCGCCAGGACCCAAAATAACTCCCAACCAGGACTGGCAGAGCCGCCCAGCTAAAAATAACCTGGGCCAGCTGCACCAGGACAGAGCAGGGGGCCCCAGAGGCCTTGCCTGGCCCACAGGGGGACAATGATGCATAGGGCCTACTAGGTGCCAGGCACTACTCTCAATTTAGCCTGCATCAGCCTTGGAGGTGGTGACCATTATCATCACTGTACAGAAGAGAGGGCATATGCACAGAGAGGCTAATTAACTGGCTCAAGGCCATACAGCGAGGGGGTGGCAGAGCCAGGACTCCACCCAGGCAGTCTGGCCAAGTTTGTTGTCCCAAATGATGCCAATTCCTCCTTCCAAGCCAGAAACACCATGAGAGGCTGAGCCCAGCTCCCTCTTTGGTGCAGGCAAGTCCCTGGCCCTGTTATCTTGCCTTTCTCACTGGAGAGGGGAAGGGCAGCTCCACCTTAGCTGGGCTGTGAGAGTCAGATTGACGGATGGGGAAACTTGGACCACTGGAGGGGCTTGCTGGGTGGAACACTCTGCATTTACAGACTAGGCCCAGAGGGGGGAGTGGGCATGTCAGAGCAGAGAAGCTGCTCCTGGGGCAGTGGCCTGGGCCCTTCATGGACTCTGTGTCTCATAATACCCCACCTTATATTTGTGTTCTATTTTGTACTTTCCAGAACACCTTCAGATCTGTCTTCTGATTTGACCTTGGCAATCCCAGAGTGATCACAGCACAACCTGATGGGGCCAATGCACCCCTCGCCACCCTCCCCACCTTAAGGCTCCTCAGTGGCTTCCAAGGGTCCTTAAGATCAGTTCCCCCAGCTCCACCCTCTCCCCATCTCTGATCTCTGCTCAGAGCTTGCTGGACTGGTCACGTGTTCCTCTGTCCCTGCATCACCTCTGGGTGATGTTCCCTCTGCCTGGAACACACCCTGCCCTCCACCCTGTACCTCCTGCTCCTCCTTCCTAGCTCAGGCCCCACCCCAGGTCCAAGGCAGCTGTCAGGGGCCCCCAGTGCTCACAGAACTCCCCCTTTACTGCACTCACCAGAGCTGGCAACTGCATATTTTTGCATTTTATATGATTGTGTTGGTCCCTCTCACAAGGTCTAGAGGGGGTTGCATTTGTTTGCCCTGAAGCTCCCGGGCACCCAGGACCAGCACGCTGCCATACAGCCAGCTCCGTTCTGCAGGAAGAATGAACACCTGCGCAAGGTGGACAGCTTCTCCCCCTGAGCAGCTGGGCCTGAGCCCAGAACAATGTGGAGCAGCCCTCCCCAGGTGGAGCTGGATCCAGCCGTGGCTGGGGCAGCCAGGATCGGAGCCAAGCAAATGGCCCGGCCTGTCCTCCTAGGCAGGAGGTGGGCTCTAGGCTGGCCAGCGAGGACCAAGGTCACAGCCCTTCTCTCCTGCTTCTGATGAACAGAGACTTCTGTGTGAAATTGACTTGAGCTGTCAGAACTGTCACAGTCACACATGGCTGGTAAAAACTGACCCCATCTTATAAAATCTCACGATTTCCTGGGTCAGGAATTCAGGGAGGGCTTGACTGAGCAATTTGCTTTTGTTCCATGTGACACTGACTGGGGTCACTTATTGGCACTCAGCGGCTGAAAGGCCAGTCTGGTGGGTCCGAGACAGCTCCACTCACACTGGACACTTGGCAGGGAGAGGCCATTGCCAGACCCTTCTCCTCTCCATGGACTCTCGGGACCTCTCCACACCTGGTGGTTGAACAGGCTTCAAGACTGAGGTGGAAGCTGCCAGCCCTCACCAAATCTAAGCCCAGGTTGGTGTAGTCACTTCTGCTGTCCCCACTGGTCAGCACAGTCCAGGCTCAATGGGAGGACAACTAGACCCCTCCTCCCAGGGCAGGTGTCATTGTCTCCATTTGACAGGTGAAAAGGCAAAGGCTCAGAGGTGTGAAGCCTTCAGGCCAACAGAGTACAGGAAACAGAACCAAGACTGAGACTGCGGCCCGGAGCCTGAATCTAAAGTCTGGGCTGTCCCCGGAACCCCTGCGGCCTCGATGCAGGCTGCGGCATAGTGGACAGGTCCAGCCAAACCAGCAGACATCAGTGTCTCACCAGTGGACCGCAGCCTGCCACACACGGTCCTGGCAGCAGAAGTCATTGCTGCTTCGTGACCCTCTTGCAGAGGGTCTGAGGTGGGGGCCTGGATGCTGATACTGCTTTTCACCAGGGTTGGGACCCAGGAGCACTTAGCCACTGAGCCACATCCCCAGGCCTTTTTATATTTTATTTTGAGACAGGGGGCCTCACTAAGTTGTTGAGGCTGGCTTTGAACATGGGATTGTAGGTGTGTGCCACCGCGCCTGGTTGGAAGCTGGTGTTTTCTCAGGAGTGCTCAGGTGATTTTCACTGCAGCCACAGACTGAGGAGGTCTGGTTTCAATCAAAGAGGCTTCCATGCCTGCTCCTGCCTGAAGGACCCCCTTCCCTTCCTAGGCCCTGAGTATTTCACTCTGGACCCAGCCTGAATCCCTCACCCCATGTCTCTGGGACAGGGGAGACTAACCTGGTCAGCTGGTCTACCCTAACGGCAGAGAAACATCCCAGGCTCTGCATAAGCAAGGGCCAGAACAAGGGCCCTGCCCCAGCCCAGCAAGTCAGGCCCAGTTCTGCTGGGGGCTGGAGTAAGGGTTCAGTTCCTTCCCAGCTCTGCCACGTGTGAGTTGAGGTTTCTTCACCTCTCTGAACTCAGGTTTTTGGATCTACAAGGTGCAGTTAATAATGACCATCACACCAATTTCACAGAGGGCCTTCAAGGCTCAAAAGAGAGAATGAATATAAAAAACATTCAGTAAAAATGTCCAAGGCTTTTACATGGAAAATTACAAACCATCATTAAAAAAAATTTAAAACCCTAAATACATGAAAAGACATTTCTTGTCTGTGAATTAGAAGATTTAATATCATGAAGATTTTAAATTGTTAATGTTATTAATACCATCCAAACTGATGTAGGAATTCCATGCAATATTAGGTTTAAACAAATCCTCATGGTCAAAGAATCAGAGGTCTCTGGGCACTGAACACGGACACACTCTCTTCAGCGTCACTGAAGTCAGAGTGGACCTTGTAATGAGAGTGTGTCATACTTAATTGTTATAAAGCCTCTCCAGCTGAGGCCCTCCCCTGGGGTCAGGGGATGCACCCTCCGGGAGCTGTGATCCCCTTCATTTCCAGGTGCTCTGCAGGCTCCTTGCCAGGGTCTGTCTTGCAGAGCCAGACTCAGTTTGCCTGTTCCAAGGGGCAGTGTGCATGGGGCAGGCTGTGTGGGTGAGGGGCCGGCTGAGACATGGCTTATCTGCATCCATGCATGTGAGTAGGGTAGTATCTGCATGCGTGTGTGTATTGTGTATATGCACACATGTCAGAGTCCTGGTGGTGTGTCATAGTGTGGGGGCAGAAGCAGTGGGATCTGGCAGGGCTGGCTCCCCCTACTCTGTTGCATTACGACACAGAATTCCCAGGAGTCCAAATTCTAAATTTGAACCTGGCCTTTCAAGTCCAGGTGGAGGTATATTTGTCAAGGAAAGAAGCTGGAATATATTTTATTTAATAGCTTGTGAACTTGATGTAGGACTTTCAAATATTTAGACGTGAAGTTTGTGGGTCTCCAATCGTGCTTTTGCCCTGGCCCTCAAAGTGTTTCGGGAAGGTTGGCCAAGTTCCAGCAGGCTGTCTTCTTCCCAGAACACCCTCCTTGCGTCTGCCTGGTGCATGCAGCGTCCCCTCAGTCCCAGTGCAGCACCCGACTCCCCTGGGCAGACTCAGGCTCCGATGAGCCTCTGTCCTTCGTCCCCTTGGCACTCTCGGCCTGCTCCTCTGTGGCTACAAGAGGGCTGCAGATGGCCTGCTGATGGCAGGGGCAGGGTCTCCTTGAGGCATGAGCTTGCCCCGCTCCCCCCCAGCAATCCTAGAGTTCATGCTGCCCAGGGCAGCCTCAGTGGACACAGGCACCTCCTGTGTCTTGTTCGCCCACTTCCGTGCAGTGGCTGAAGACCTGCTGGCTCCCTGACTGGGATGGGCCCCAGGGCTCACCGGGGGCTTCTGTTGAACTGCAGATTCGGGTTCTGTAGGTTCGGGGGCCTGAGAGGCTGAATTCCTGACCAGCTCCCAGGAGGGCCAATACTTCTGTCTTGAGGACCACACTTTGAGTAGGGAGGCTTTAGAGCTCATTTTCTTCCAGAAAGACGAGTTCAGTTGCAGTGCTGCCTACAGCTTACTCTATAGCAGACCTGGATGCTGCATATCCCCAACAGATGTACGAGGATCCAAGTAGCAAGCCATCTCCTCACCCTGGAGGGCTACCCAGGGACTCCGGAATCAGTTTTTTCAAGAAGGTAACAAGGGTCTCGGAAACCCAGGCCACTGTTGCTCTTTC